TTTTGACTGCAAACCAGACAGTAATGAAGGCAATATTGTTTAAAGTCATTACCATCTCAGATCTCGTAATACAGCCATGCCTTCCGTGTGAGGTCGTACTGGCTCTCTTCCATTGAGCTGCAGATATATGCAAGTTGGGAAAAACAAATGGGATTTCTTTACATGATTGTAAGGCCAGCTGTATAATACTGGACCCAACAGACAATTTTCATACAAGATCTATCTCGTTAGTATCTCCCATTTTTGCATAATTATGCATTATTAAAAGAGAAAGCACCTGCACACTGTGAGCATTGTCTGTATAGGGGACTATTGTATGTCCCATGCACGTCAGTAATTATTCTCCTTATTCCAGCATTTATAACTTATAATTACTTTCCAGAAATCTCTGCAGATAATGAATATTGTCATATATTTACAATAGTAGCAATTCTAGGTGTTAAGGAGTCCCTCATCTCAAATAGATTTTATTTCACATAAACGAAACATATCCCGATGAGTCTGTTTTAAGTAATCACAGTAATCGTGTTCACCCAACCATAAGACTACGTTTTTAAACTTGTTCAAAAATATCTACATTATATAGATTCTAAGATTACACACGTTATCAATAGCCAACACATGCAATCTAAAAAAATGTTTTTTTAAATCTTGGAAAAAAAAAAAAATCACAAAACCCTCAGAAAATATTAAATGTAATAGTATTTAATAATGGAAACTAGTCACATACAAATATATGTAATAATAATCTGTATGTAATGTTACAGCTTACCAGCTGTCCATCACAAATATTAAGACTGCCGTTAACTTGAATGAGTTGGGCTAAGAGAGCACATATGTAAAAATAAATGCAGAAAAATGAGTTGAAAACAGAACTGCATCTACTGAGACATTTTCAAAACCTACAGTTTTTTTTTGTTTGTTTGTTTTATTACAAGTTAGCTGTGGGTTTTATTTTGCTCAATAATTTTTATCTATCTATTACATACCTTTACAATTAATGCAGTATCATGTTTGATTCAGTGGATAATGTGCACCGCGTTCGCCGCACATGCTCCTTATGTTCCCCCATTGGCTGATGTCAGACGAGGAGGAGAGCGACCCAGCGCAGCGGGACATTGGTTCTGGAATTGAGTAAGTGACTGAAAGAGTTTTTTAATCCTTTCATGGAGGGTGTGGGTCTGGAGGGCATAGGGACACTTTAGTTTTAGGAATAAAGTGGCTAGACATTGGAAATGGGCGAGAGCCCAAGAGATCATGTCCGGCTCAAACTATAGTGATGAGGAGGGCTTGGATGAGTTATTCTCAGACTCTTATGAGGATGAGATTTCCGACAATGAGAACCTCATGGAGAAACAGTTGGCCACCGCTCCATCCAAAAAGGCCCTAGATAACCCAGATGAACCCTGAGACGTTAAGACTACTCCAGTGCACAGATGCTAAACTCTTTGCAAAAATACACGCCACCCGACTAAGTAAGATCCTTCCTCACATCATCCACAATGACCAAGTAGGGTTCGTGGCGGGCAGACAGGGATCGGAAAATACGAGAAAAGTATTAGACATAATTCACAGCTACAAGAAGACACAAAAAGGGGGGCTACTGATATCATTAGATGCCGAGAAAGCCTTCGACCGCTTACACTGGGGCTTTCTAGAAGCGGCACTGCTCAAATTTGGAATACCTGAGAGATTTTTGTCGGCGGTGAGGGCCCTCTATAGCCACCCCACCGCGCAAGTACTCAATGCAGGGTTTTTGTCTGACCCCTTCTCGATCACAAACGGAACAAGACAGGGCTGCCCACTCTCCCCCCTACTCTACGTCCTAGCGCTGGAGCCCCTGGCGCAAACCATCAGGGACCATACCTCCATCCACGGAACTATAATCGGGCATAAAGAATACAAAGCGAACCTGTTCGCTGACGATATCCTGCTTACCCTCACGCAGCCACAAATCTCCCTCCCAAACCTATTAGCAGCTATCACAGAATATGGAACTCACTCCTATTATAAGCTCAACGTGACGAAAACCCAAGCCCTAAGCATAGGGATCCCAGACCGAACATTACGCACACTCCGAGCATCATTCTCCTTTGATTGGAGATCTGATTACATTACCTTCTTGGGGCTCAGACTCACAAAAAATCCGACTGAGCTCTTGAAGTATAACCACGAGACACTCTTAAGAGACATAACCGAAACACTGAAAGGGTGGGAATCCAAATTCTTGACCTGGCTAGGTAGGATAGCAGCAATAAAAATGTCCATCCTCCCTAAATTGCAGTATCTGCTTCGAACACTGCAAATACCTATCCCCAAATCATACTTGGAAAAGTTCCAAGCTACGCTGACCAGATTCGTGTGGGAAAACCGCAAAATCCGTGTCTCCTCAAAACTCTTATACAAGCCCCTAGATCACGGTGGACTTGGGCTGCCAAACATCAAAGAATACTACAGAGCTGCATTGTTAGCATCTGTGGTGACCTCCCATGCAACTATTTCCCCCCCACAATGGATTGAGCTAGAGTCACACTGGTCGCACCCCGCGGGCACGCAACCGCCCGAGCATGCCAAACATGTTGCGAACCACTGACCTACTCCTCCACACATGGGACAGATTAAAACACAATCTAGGCGAGCAACACGTGTGGTCTCCAGCCACCCCTATATCCTGCGTACACACTATTAATCCATCCTTCGACTACCGGCCCTGGCGCAAAGGTGGATGCACCTCCATAGGCCAACTGTTAGGAAGCAACGGAATTTTGCCATTCCCTGACCTACAACGCAAATTTCAACTACCGACGAGAGCGGTGTTCTCATACCTCCAACTAAAAGCACTCCTCACACACAGCCCCGCACTCTCGCGGCCGCCGACCATAGCTTTCTTCGAGAAAGCCTTCCTAGCCCCTACCACGCCAAAAAAGTTACTAGCCTCCATTTACCGTGAACTGACAGTCCCGACGGAACGTAGCTATGAAAAATTTATGACAGACTGGCACGACGACCTGCACCAAATCTTTGACGTCATAAGCTGGAAAACAGCAATGTTAGCCCATAAAGGAAAGACAAGCTGCGCATCACACTTAGAACTGATGAGGAAAATCCAGTATCGCTGGTACATGGTACCAGACAGGCTGGCGCGCATCTACCCGAACACATCCAGACTCTGCTGGAGATGTTCACAGGAACCGGGAACGATGTACCACATCTGGTGGACCTGCCCTAAGCTCAAAGAGTTCTGGCAGACGGTAGGCAACGTCTCCACCGACGCACTGGGGACGAATGTTACACTCACACCTGAAGTGTGTCTCCTGTTCATGCCGTTAGAAAACATATCCAAATCAGCCTACACCCTACTCTTCCACATCCTCATGGCTGCAAATCTGTTGATAGCCAGAGCATGGAAAGCAGTGGGGGTCCCGGACCGCACTGCCCTTACAACACAGATCACCCTCAATATAGACTACGAAATAATGGCACACAAAAACATTAACCCTAAAAAGCATATTCAGGCAGCGGGCAACATGTGGGACACATACATTAAAACCCAGGCACGTACGGAAAACACCCCCCCAGACTCAAACTCACAAGACCACGGGGAAACTAGAGTAGGCGAAACACCACAGGGCAAAACCTGACACACCAAATAAGAGGTAAAAACCTCCGGGTTAGAGGTTTGCAAATAGGAGCGGGTAGGGGTGACGGAGTTGGGGAAAAGAGGGAAGAGAGAGGGGAAAAAAAAAAAAAGAGCACACTCCGGGCTGCGCTCTAGGCTCTCGACCCTGGTGTCGCAATATACAACGAACGATCCAGCACACCTGGCAGTGGCAACCAACACAGACACCAGGCAACCGGTAGAACATAGGGAAAACAATTATGGAAAACGTGGAACGTATTCCACTTTGCACAAGAGGTCTGCCCCACCAAGACATCGTAAAGCAAATCTCCTTTGTACATAGTTTACCCCCCCCCTCCCCTACCAGCTCATCCCATTCCCCACCCTTCCCCCTTCTCTTTCTTTCTCTTTCTTTTTCTCTTTAGAAGTAAAAAGAGTCATGCGACCCGACGGACTGGGGAAAGGGATGGGAGGGCATCGGATATATTGGAACACTGTCCCCTCAGGGTGCAGTGACAGCACTGATTCCACCAAGCAGGCATGAACACACATCAAATGACAAAACAATCAGCAGCCCATCAGATAGGCACATGGCAGGGCCCGACGTAGACACAAGCGGGGAATAGAGCTGCACAACTAGACACGTAGAAATCACAAAAAGGAAATAACCCCTGTGGCCAGACATCATGCAGAAGTACCCCTCCAGCCACATAGTCAGATAGACCATCTCAAACCTAGACACACCCTATCCGAGATGACTGGCACTCAGAAACCCTCCCCCCCTCAAGTAATGCACGCTATGTGAGTATGTCTATAGATAAACGGCCTAGAGAGCTCCACTGCCAAAACTGCTACACAGGCATATACACTAACAGACCACTAGGTGAATGTTTATCTCAAATATTTGTCAGATATGAGAATGTAGCAAAAATTGTACTGAGAATATCAACAGCAAAACATTGTTAACTGTGTATATTCACCCACAAACAGCGCGGACATAGGCACGGTACAGGACTATAAAATACGCTTATATGCCAAAATATCAACAAGGGAATATCTATGCCAAACAGACACCAAACGCGCACACACACCATAATAAACGTTTGCAATAAGTGTATAAATCGTTATTGTGCAACACCTGTTGGAAATGTGGAATCTGATCCCTACACCCTCCCTTCTACTTTCTGTACCCACGTACCTTTTCGCTGACTCAATAAAAATTGTCAAATTGAAAAAAAAAGACTACTCCAGTGTTCGACCCAGATGACTTGCGCCACCCACGCTCTGCTGAATGGGAGCCACTGGAGCATAATGCGCAACACCTGGCGCTGATGGTCCGGAAACCCCTCTCCTAGGAGGACCGAAATAAACTGCGGGCCGAATGCCCCGGCCCATTATCCCAGACATGGTGGCCAAGACTCCCGAAGTCAATCCGCAGATCGTACAATTTCTATCAAAAACCAACTGGAAGCCGAAGAAGGGACTAGACTGCTCCTTACGGAATTGCCAGGTCAAGTTCCTAGACACACTAAGCCCTATTACTAAGCTCTATGAACTGTTGGAGACAGCACAGTCGGGAGAAACCCGACTTTATTATAATACATCGTTTGGATGGCTGCAACGCCTGGTGTGCATGGTTGGCAATGCTAACTCGGCCATGTCCACCAAACGCAGGAAAGCCATCCTGCTCAAAATAGAACCAAAACTAGCTAGCATGGCTACCAACGAACCCGGAGCAGCCGCTAAAGGCCTATTATTTGGTAAGTCCTTTGTCAAGGAGCTCAGATCCTTTGTCAAAACCTTCACAGCGCTAGATAAAGCTCAGAGCTTCATTAAACGAGTTTTCCACCAAAAGGTTTTTGGTGTGGCCGGAAGAGGGAGGAGCTGTCTATGCGGCCGTAACCCCGGGGCTTTAACAGACGGGGCAGCGGCTCCTTCCACCCATCTAGACCAGTGCAGGAACGTGCCTATACCCCTTTCTTCCCAATTAGAGGACGTCCTTGGAATGACCCCAGGAAAACGTCCTTATGGTAAGTACTGTGAATCCCAATTTTTCCCATGTAAAGGTGGGGAGAAGGCTGACTCTATTTCACCGAGCCTAGGCTATGATTACATCCGACACATTGGTGCTACATACTATCCAGGGATATCATTTAGAATTAACGGCTTTACCTATACAGGACACCCCACCTCAGGCGCTCATGATGTCCGCAGAACATCACAATCTGATCTCCACGGATATCAGGGTATTGAAAGCAAAGAATGCTAGAGAGGAAATCCCTTGGGACAAAAAACAGGATATGTGAGCAACCTTCTTCTGGTCCCAAAAAGGGCAGAGGCGTCCGCCCAGTCATAAATTTGCGACCGCTGAATGCCTTTGTCCAATATCAGCATTTCAAAATGGAAGGCATTCACTGCCTTAGAGACCTACTACTACTGGCAGATTGAATGGTCAAATTCGACCTGAAAGATGCGTACCTGACGCTTACCGTGGCATGGACCTGCTACAATTCCGATGGGAAGTGAGGAAATGGAGGCTGTCCTGTCCTCGGCCCCCTGGTGCTTCACAAAAGTCCTGAAACCAGTGGTGATCATCCTGAGAATACACGGGATATGATTAATCATCTACTTAGATGATATCCTTCTACTGTCACAAACACAGGAACAACTGACTGTCCATGTCACTTGGACCATACACCTCCTTTAGATCCTAGGTTTCTTGGTGAACTGGGAAAAGTCAGTTCTACAACCATGTCAACATATGGAGTTCCTGGGATTCCATTCAACAGGTTCTATGCCTCCCGGCAGAGAGAATATCGAACATCAAGAAGGAGGTAAAACAGTTGATGAACTGCCTGGACATATCCCTGCGGCAACTAGCGAGAGTCATCGGCCTGTTGGCCACCTCCATCCAGGCAATTTTCACGGGCCCATTACACTACAGGGCTTTACAAAGACTGAAAGCATCCTACTTGAGAAGTGGCCATTCATACGAAACACGCATTTCAATAGACAAGGAATCCAGGGAAGAATTAACCTGGTGGCTGGCCCGCATGGAATTGGTGAGCAATATTCGCATCCACTCCAGATCTCGTGATAGAATCAGACGCAAGCTTACATGGCTGGGGCGCGCGTTGCTGTCCCATATCCACCGGAGGCAGATGGTCCACAGACAAATCCTTTTTGCATATCAACTGCCTGGAACTGCTGGCAGCCTTGTTTGCCATTTGCAGTCTCTCTCCCAAGAACATATCTTGTTCGAGCCTCTTCAAACTAGACAACGTTTCCGCCGTCCGCTACATCAATCACCTGGTTGGAACCAAATCACGAATATTAGCACTCTTGGCCCGAGACTTCTGGCATTATTGTCTACGACACAACATATCGGTGATGGCAGAACACATCCCAGGTCTGGAAAACTACACGGCGGACTGGAACTTCCGTTACCTGAAGGACATGGGGGATTGGAAACTTCAGCCATCTATATTCAGGGAGATTGCCCGCCTCTGGGGGCCTTTACAAGTGGACCTCTTTGCGTCCAGACTGAACATTCAACTTCCGCAGTTCTTCAGTTGGAGGCCAGACCCAAAAGCAATGGCAACGGATGCGTTCCTTCAAGATTGGTCCACAAACCGGTCGTATGCCTTCCCTCTGTTCAACCTGATTGCTCGGACTTTGGATTGGCGAGCCCGGGTATTCACCCCAGAAGGAGTATCCTTCAACATCTCACGGAGGACGAAGTCTGCGACTAAGAACGTCTTCTATCCTAGATTCCCAGGTCAACCGAACCTGTGCCCAATTGCATATCTGAAGGAATATGAATTGTGCACAACTCCATTGTGCCCATCAGAAGACGGCCATTGTTCATCTCATTCAAGGGAACTCACCTACCGGTGTCTACACCTACTCTGGCTCGCTGTGCCAAATGGCTGTTAACCTCAGCCAGGACTGATACCACAATCTTATCCTCTCATTCGGTCAGAGGCGCTCTGGCCTCGAAGGCGTCAACGATAGGTTGTAGATTGGAAGATATATTGAAGGCCGCAGATTGATTTTTCAGAAATTACTACTTTAGACCTATTCAACACTTCTCAGAGTTAGTTGTGACTCAGCTTTAAACTAGCATAATAGGAGCCTCCGTGTCCCAGATTTTACTATTAACATGACGTAAAGTCATGATTTTATTAATGACACAGAGGCAAGAATTATTCCCACCCACCCTCCCTCAGGTTAGGACATTGGGATGACTTTTTACTGAACGCCAACTTATATTAGATCTGTGTTGGTAAGTACACACATTAGGTTCTTGACATGAATATCAGGTTAAGTTATATGGTTAGTTTTGAATTGTCTTTCTTGATAATACCTCACATATCGTCACATATATATGCGGCATATTGCGACCCCAGGTCAGGTAAGTGCAATTTACATACGCTGTAGGAAAGAGAAAGCATAATACCCGCCTCCATGTCATTAATAAAATCAGGTCTTTACGTCATATTAATAGTAAAATCTGGGAATTATAAAGGATAAAGATGCTTTACATGGATGAGGCAAGAACTTCAACCCTGGTAAACAATTTAAGAAAAAGTGTCATATTTATGTAAAGAACCTTTAGATTATTATGTTCTCTTCTTAGTAAACTGTTCTTTTTATTCAACCTACACATGTTCTCTTATTTAGCATCAACATTTTAAATGTTTAAAAACTCCCAAAAATACTTAAAATGCAAACAAAATCACAACTCAATCCCTCTAATAGACTTTAACTGAAATTATAAGTAAACTAATCCACGTTACTAACACAGTGAGACTTATTTATGGAAATCAATAAGCCTGTTAGCTTTTTTTTAATGCAAGTTTACTTTCTTGTGGGCAAAAAAGGGAATTTCCATTTAAGGTTTTCTTGAGCAATAATGCCCTGAAAGCTTTAGTAATTGCAAGTTATACAGTGAGCAGTGGTTAGAAAAATTGAAGGTGAAAGAAAGCCTTTAACCAATAAAAGCAGGTTAATGTATGATATACTAAGCGGATGCTAAACATTTAATAATGTGCTCTTTGAGTAAGTTATGGGATGAAATGTTGTATTCTTTATTTTTTTTACTGATTTCCCCATTGTCACTGCAAGTCCCATCCTCCATTGTTTTAAACAAATTATTGTATTGGGTATTTAAATATTCTCACTATGACAATAAAGGATGTCATTATAAATAGAGTAGTAAATAAAAATTAGAATGACCGAGGCTTCGTGTCTATATAAAACCCATATAAAAGTTAGAACAAAAAATAAAATAAACCATTAAAGGCTGAACATGATGGACACATGTCTTTTTTCAGCCTACATAACTGTGCAATATAATCATGAATAACATTTTCCTAGTAATGAATTATGGATAATGCATAATAGTGTACTATGTATTTTGGGAGAATAAGACTATTAAGGGGTACTGGGGATAACTGAAGATTGAGTGGTTTACGAATACCTTCGAAACTTTGAAATTATATTATTTTGCCATGAAAAACTTTGCTCAGCTATGTATAATTTAAATCATATGATATTATTAAATATATTTTAAAAATAATTGTTTTGATTATTTTAATACTGGAGTTCCAGAAATATATTGGCATCTACCACTTCAATTTCACTTCTCACATCACTCAGAGAAAGACTGTCAGGGTTATTCACTAAAGTAAGAATGCTGTGAATTCAAAATTAATTTCAAAATTTAGACCAAATAACTGTTTAAAAGGACACTATAGGCGCCCAGACGACTTCATATCATTGAAGTCGTCTGGGTGCGCTGTCCATGTCCCTCTTAGTCCTGCAGTCTAAAACAATGCCGTTTTAGAGAAACTGCAGTGTTTACATTGCTGTGCAAACACTGCCTCTAGTGGCTGTCTACCAAACAACCACTAGAGTCACTTAATGGAGTTTCACGGAGTTTGAATTCATAAAAAGACACTGGATGTCCATGATCTGCATGGTGAAGGATTAATGTTGTTGCTGTTTAGCACATCACATTATTAAGTCCTTGTATGCACCTTCAGCACTCCAGATGTTGTGGACTACATCTCCCATGATACATTGCCAGCGTTATGGGAGATATAGTCCACAACATCTGGAGTGCTGAAGGATGCTTAACCCTTGATAGTCTATAAATATAATCTATTTTCCTAATGTAACACTCTGCAATACAGTATTTGAAACCACCATCAGACCATTAAAATAAAAGACAGAGTATGTAATATGTATGTAAATTTGGGTGGTTTGCATTACTCAGAAATATGATGCTTCAGTTGTTGTGTTAGTGCCCATTTTAACAATAGAAAATAAAGGCAACATAGTTTTAATAAAGGCAACACTATATTTGTCCAGTATTATGCATTATATGTCTATTGGTAACTAATATTACATGTTTATCCTTATGCACAATAGTATATTTTTACTGCTAAGCAATATTCCAAATGTTTACCATTATGCAATAATACATATGTCTGTCCTTATGTGACTTAGAATATACATATTGTATTCTGTCAAGATGTTATATAGGTTTGAAAATTCCCCAATTATCTCAGCCAAATAGTAAGCTGGGCATATTGCGACCCCAGGTCAGGTAAGTGCAATTTACATACGCTGCAGGACAAGTTTGCTATTATGGCTGGATTAATGTTGCATTATATCTGCTTTTTTGTAGTGAGACACTAACACAATTACTAAAAGTCTGTCAGCTGATCAATTATCATATTGCTACTAATGCAGCACACACACACTGACACTCTGATATAATCTGATGGCCTTGTATTGTCAAACTGGCTAGGCAGGGATTATACAGCAAATTGTTCCACCCCTACGCAGTATTTCTCTGTCAACATGTCAAGGCCTTCGGTTCTCTTCCAAAGTGCATCTGTGTGTCAGACAAACAGTTATTGCTGTCTATGGTTTAGGAAATGTATTGACATTTATGTGGATTTTCTCTACTACTGAATGTTACACTGAAAATATAGGATGGAGGTGTATTTGCCCATAATATTTAAATGGTAAAGAAAACAAAAGTGAAATGTAGGATTATTGCATAGCGACGTGAAACAAAATAAAATGTCAAGATTATTCACAAAACTGCGAATTGTAGCCAGTTAAAATCCTAATGACAATGTAAAATAGCTGATTTGGTAAAATTCTAAAACTCATATAAAGTTACCAACTGTCTATTTTAGCCTGTATTTTGGCATCTATGCTTTAATTAGCTATAAATCAGAGTTGAATACCAGTGATGACATCGGCAGCACTATATAAAGAACGAGATGATATAATCGTTAATAGCATTTTTTATCTATAACATAGACATTTTGTTCATTTCTTTAGCAAAAGCACATACAGAGTAAGAATATATCTAATTAAATGAAATTAGAACTCATGTACAACAAATTGATTGACAGATATATCGCAAATTTTGGTATCTCAGAAGTCGACATGTATCTCTGCGTTTTTGTGATGGGTTAATTCTGGAATGTGCAGAGCAGAAGTTGAGGCGAGGTGCATAGTTGAAAGAAGCTGGCAGTGTGCAGAGGTATATACACCTCATGAATCTGAAGTCCCCCAGGGCCAATATATAAAACCTGCCCTGTTCCGAAGCACTAGCTGTATATTTCCAGATGACAGACCTGAAGCTGAGTTTCCATGGCAACCACGGAAATTTTCATCGACTGATTTTTATATGGAAAACTCTCATTTTCTTCTGCCTAAGCATCCTATCCATTAATATTATGTACCTTTATAGCCCCATGTACTGTATAGCTGTTACATTTAAAAAAAAAAAAAAAGAAGCTGTTTTACTCACATGTAAATATGTTATAGTTCTCAAGTCTCATAGGGTTCTGTGCTGATATATTTCAGCCTCACGCTTCCTTTTTTCACTGTTCTGGTGACATTCGCCACTTTTACAGCAAATTGGTTGCCTTTTCGACCTTTCATGTTTGTCCTTAGATCTCCAGGGCCGTGATACTATAATAGCAAATGCTACAATATATTTTACTTTAAGCCAATTACAATATGGACTACTTGCCCTTTTGTAGCACGTTTTATTAAAGTTACCATTATTAAACTCCATCAAAGCCACACAGCAATTTATTTATTTATTTATTTCTGGACGTATTACACTGGGCTCCTCTCGCTTTCAGACAGGTAAGACGCCGTGTAGTCTCAAACCACCCAAATCAGTTAGAATTTTTGCCACCCTGGCTTTTTTAACAGTGTTTCGGGATAATCATGGATTTAATTGCCATTATTATCATGACTGCTCAAGACACAATGTCATCTAAAGTGGTCGTGTAATTATTGTAGCATTATCCACTGAATATCTCTAATAATCCCATATAAATCACTCTGGTTCAGTCGCTTCAATTAGGCTGCGGTTGAGTTTGCAATATTTCAGCAGACGGATTAATGCAACACCCAGAGCGGGATGCAGTCATTGTAGTTGTATTCAGTGGATGTAGTTGTCTATGGGTTTTTTTTTTTTGTGTTTGTTTTATTTTAGTTCATGTTAATGGAGGTTCAGGACTGACAGTTAAGACATTTGTTCACTCTGCTTGTTTTTTTTTTTTTTTTTTAAATACAGCTCCCTGTGAGCTGTTTGCAATATGAGTGACAAAGAAGCAAAAGTATTTCGGGTTATGTAAGAGTGAACACCGATAACACAATTAAAGTTCAGGCTTCAAAATGTCTATGCTCTAAAGATAAAACCCAACACATGGAAGAGATCTACGCCAGACAGACTATGACAAGGTTAATCCCAGCATGGTCATATTTATTGACCTCACGATAATGACATTTTCAATATTCCATGAAATCTTATAAAAATTATATGTTTCTCAAGTATCTACACTATTAGTGATTACATAAAATGTATATTCTAGACCAAAAGGCCTAGGAAATGCAGATTATACAGACAGAAATTGAAACCCAAGTGCTGTGAGAGTATGTCTTAATGTAAAAGTTAGTATTGTACATTGTGTTCTATTGGTTGCTATTGCATTTGCATAGTATCAGACTCACATTGATTCAATAAATTCTGATACAGGTAAAATTGGCACTGCAATAAAGTTCTGGCAAAAATGCTATTCTCTAACATGTGTGACAATTAGTAAGGCAATTAGTAAGGCATTCTTGGTTTTTGTTGCACTCCATTGAAAACCATAAAAACTATGACAACACATGGTATTCTGTAACTGGCGTTGCAGTTTCAGATGCTGCAAAAGGCCCTTTTCTGGTGGAAATGGTTCATCTACAGGGTTTTCACTAAAAATATAATTTCTATCCAGATAGACAAAATCTGGTGAAAATGACTGAATTCGTATCGCATTTGTAATTCACAGATTTACTAAAGTCAAATGCGTCAGCTTTCGGTCAGTCTGACCAATTCTGTAACAATCACTTCAAAAATCAGTGATATCCACATCCGATATCCATATCCAAACCAATATAAAGCACAGGAATCAGACATTTAGGAACAGCCACATGGAGACCGAAGATAAACCAAGTTAATCAGTCAGGATGCACATTCACAAACTTTCACTCATTTGCCTTTCACTAGCAGCCAGTGGGCAAATCATTTACAAAGCCCTCTTGGCATGAGGGTTAATTATGTGACGCCTGGCCAGCACATGCCATATGGCACGTGGGGTATGTCTCCTAAATGTTTAAAACTAACGAATGGACAGTCATGTTAAAAATAAAGGGGGGACATAGTCCCCCTGTGCCCCCACCAGTTAGCATTGGCTGGGGCTACACAAATATTAATGGAACACAAAAATGTATTTCTGACTCTATTTTATTAAAAACATTATCTAGCCCCCCTGCTCCCTCTAGTCCTCCTAAATATAGTTAAATTGTGCTGGCTGTGCCACTGATCTGCCTCCTTGGCTGAAATAACCAGAAGTGGTGATCCTATAGAAAAGCACTGGATTGTCAAGGAGGCAGAACAGGAGCAGAGCCAGCACAAGCCAAATACAGCCCTGGCCAATCAGCATCTCCTCATAGAGATGCATTGAATCAATGCATCTTTATGAGGAAAGTTTAATGTCTCCCCACCCATGGTTGACAGTGGGGTCCTAGTAATAATACAAGATAAGGAGAAGAGCTAGAGTCCCCCTGCCACCATCCATAGATGGTGGGTGTGGGCACTAATATTAATAATATGAGGGGTGTGCCTAGGGTTCCCCCCTAGCCTCTTACCATGGGTGAGAGGTGGGGACCTTAATTAATGATAAAATAAGGGATTTGATATGCCATTGTCCATACCCTGTATAATAGCATGTCTAGCCAGCCGCCACATAATTAACCCTCATGCTGAGGGTTGTTAGCTTTTTACCCAGTGGTTGCTAGCACTGCCAGCAGGCAAACAGTTCGGATTATTTTTCTAATTCCGGACCCGAATTTGAAGCATCCAGGCCTGTATTTGCAGCCTTCAGTCTCTCTGCTTCTGAGTTTCTGAGTTCTATGGAAACTTGATAAATATCGGAATGTTGAACGAAATTGGCGAACAATCACTACCTATGAGCCAGGGGAACTGTTGAACATTTTATTATTTTCTGAGCTCCCAAAAGTGACCAACCGCAACCACTATTTCTCTGGAACTAATGTGGGCAGACAGTTGGTCAAAACCTTACCCTGGTGACGATTCGACTGTGTTCGTGGGATTTGTGTGCTATTTGGACAACATGAGCACTTAGTTCCAGGCTATCCGGGGATATACTGCTTGTGGGGGTTCGGATATATATTATGTGTATTTTGAATATTTTATGTTTTATACTTTGTAACTCTAGTGCCTGGGAGATAATTAGTTTAAGCAAAGTACACTAAATTATCTCACAGACACAGAGACTCCATGGCATGTTGAGGGAGTATTTTGGGCATGTTTTACCATGTCTTTGCTTGAGTCCCCATGCTGGGGGTCTGTGTATATAAGTTGGCCAGCTGGCTGGAAAAAAAAAACGAACGGTGAACCGATTAATTTTTTCCATGACCTTAGAATTTTGGGAGAGTATGAACTGGCTATAATCACTTATGCGAATCACTGTGCAAACGGGTTATAATCACTTAAGCCTCTAGTATACGAACAAACGGAGTATACCAAATACAAGGAGTTTGTTACAAAACCTTTTTCCCGTTGGTATTTTCTTGATCATTTAAGGTGTTTAGAAACCCTCTAGCCATCCTCTAGTATTAAACATTCAGGATGTAAATTTACCTTCATTAATTGAAGTTCTGAGTTCCAGGTTGCCATTGTAATTACACTGCCCTCAAGTCAAACGATGATTCAGTGAATCAAAAGTGATACTTTAACTAAATTCATGTTCTTATCCAAGACCCAATATTTAGTTTCTCAGCAACCTCAAAGAATAATAATCATTTCAGATATTTTGAAGTCTCTGACACTTTCTGGCACTCTTCCTCTAACAACCCTGGAAAAAAATAAAACATTTGGAATGATTTATTTTTTAAATTTATCCTTAATTAGTTGCTTTACTTGCCCTTGAGTGCCATTTTCTGAAAGTCATCATCAATTTTAAACTCAGGTACTGTCAAAAGCTCAGACAGCTGTACATATATTTATCTTGTCTGAATACATCTCTTCTCACCCACCCCTTCAACGCCTACTTGCAGTTAGGTTTTAGCTCAGCTTTTTCTCAGAAGGCCTCTAAACCTACAGGCTCTGGCAAACAAGAATTTACAAGTTTTGTTTACATTTTTTTTTTTTTTGAGTATGAAAAAATAGGAGGCTAACAAAAATATATATTTTATAAAAATGTATCCGGCCGTATTACTTAGCAACAGCAGATTATTACTTAGTAGGAACAAGTAAATTAAAGGGACACTCCTTGTATTCCCAACGAACATAGGAAGTCCCCAGTACATGTGTCAAGTTTCTGTTATATTATGATGTACTTGCTGTAGTGGTGATGATGCAAGGAGTGTCCGGGTCTCCCTCCCTCTCCCCCCCATTGGTTTGCTAGTTGTTTGATTACTTACTTGGGGTCTGCCAGACGTCAGTCACCTTTTCCAAACTAGCCAGAAGTTCTCTGAGTTAAGTTCGGAAGTTCTGGGCTTCGTTCATTGGCAGAGAGCATAATCTGATAGTTTCAGGCTGTCAGCCAATGAGCTGGCCTTGGTTAGGTCAGAAGAGTTAATGTAATATCCTAACAGAAGCTTCTGTCTCTCGGTAAAGAAAGTGATCAGTGACCTTTGGACGCCAGGTAAGTAGTCAAAATGTTAGCAAATGATTTGACTACTTACATTGGGGGGTGTCAGGGCACTCTTGGCATACTATAGTTGGTATGACGCATGAAGTGTTCCTTTAATGAATGTTTATTTGTGTGTGCAGGTAGGTACATAGCATTGCGCCACAACAGCGTAAATATCGATGTTTACAGGTTTAACATTGGCATGAGTGTTTGCACATTTTCAAAATTTAACAAGCATAACAGAGATAGGCTTAACATAACTGGTGGGTCACTGCGGTGTGACTTAGTAGGCATGGGGAGTGAAATTGTGTTAAAAGAGAATAATGCAGTGTAGGACAGGTGAGGTGCTGGATAACATATAGTTATATAGCTGGCTATCTCGCAGTATAGGCAAGAAGACGACACACTGATTATATTAGTCTGATGGGCCTGGTGCGTGGATATAAAACATGTGTTATGGGTTGAGAGTGTTAGACATGCCTATATAACAGATTAAGTATAGTAGATTCCCACTGGGACTGCAATCAAAGCCTGCCATAACACAAGCAAAGACTAGCAAGAGTAGAAGAGAAATAAACATAAAACTAGGGGGCATCATAGAGTGTATGCAATATAGGACATCTTAAACTACAAGGTGTAAAATGGTGCTTCCTCAGGCCTCGTGGCTCTCTCTCATCGTGGACAGTCCACCCAATGAAAGCGATCTGTGCTTCATCCACTTCCCATAGTCGGGTGGCGTAGTGAGCCGGCAGAAGTTCTACTGGGGAGGGGGCGCTGATGTAGCGCAGGGTGAGGGTGTCCATCTGGAGCTGGGCCCGTGTGGTTGTTGGTGCCCATAGGCGTGCGCACATATATATATACGCACACACATACATACACTGCTGTGTGTGTGTGTGCTGTGTGAGGGTGGTGTGAGGGTGCTGGTAGTGTGCTATGTGGGTGAGGGTGTTTGTGTGTGTGTGTTTGTGAGGGTGATGTTAGTGTACTGTGTGTGAGGGTGCTGTTTATGTGTGAGGGTGCTGTTTGTGTGCTGTGTGTGAGGGTACTGGTAGTGTGCTGTGTGTGTGTGTTTGTTAGGGTCCTGTTAGTGTGCTGTGTGAGGGTGCTGTTTGTGTGCTGTGTGTGGGTGTTGTGTGTTTGTGAGGGTACTGTTTGTGTGCTGTGTGTGGGGGTTGTGTGTTTGTGAGGGTACTGTTAGTATGCTGTGTGTGAGGGTACTGTTTGTGTGTGAGTGTGCTGTTTGTGTGCTGTGTGTGTGAGGGTGCTTTTAGTGTACTGTGTGTGTGGGTGCTGTATGTGTGTGGGTGTTGTGTGTGTGTGTGTGCTGTTTGTGTGCTATATGTGTGTGGGTGCTTTGTGTGTGTGGGTGCAGTGTGTGTGC